GGTAAGTTAATCATATGGGAGGAGATTGCCCATCTTTCTCCTGTGGAGCGGCTAGTGAATTCAAACCATGTGTCTTTGAGATTGCAACGCAGCTTCTTACCACTAGGCCACCAGAACTCGCTGACGTCAGTATAAATATGATTTATTAACAGATCCATTCTCTGAAAAACAAAGAGAAGATTACAAAATACTCAAAAACGTTATCCACCTGAAAACTTTATAAATGCTCTTACTCTCTCACCATCTTGCTTACATGATTAATTTAGATCAGCCTTTGCTCACATAGATCTCATTTGACTCCAGGATTTGATTACTATGTCCCACACTATAGTGGAGATAGGAGGGGGGGCATCTCAGGCTGGAGGCTTGAGGCTAGATTGCTTCTGCCTCTTATGATGATGGCCTTCACATTAACAAGAGAATCATTTTCTTTCTAACACTTTACTTTAGATAATACATTTGAACAGAGCCTCTGAAGAATTTTATAAATAAAAGGTAAACAGAGAACAATGAATAATAAGCATTTAAAATTTTTAAGGCATATCTGTCTCTGATTTTCAAAGCTCAGCTGTCTGACACATGTATTTATTTGGGCTAACATTAACATTAACTTTAACAACCTTTCCTGTCTATATTCTCCTTTTGTTTTTTCTTTCTTCCTTTTCTACTTTCTGTGGCACACAACAACAACATTATGAAAGAAAAGCTTCTGTTCTTTGCCTTTTTTAAATTATTATACTAGTTTATTTACAAAATTTGAATACACTGTTTTCTAGACCAGATTCTTCCAATTTCCCTCCCGCCTTCCCCCACCCATTTTTTTTCCATTTTGAAATCTCAAAACTCATTGCCCTTGAGTCAGCTCTGTCTCCTAGCTAACTCTTCATTGAGTTTCCAAAGCTATAAATCAATCACATAGGGAAGAATTACCCTTCTTCCCACAGGGCTGGTGGTAGATTCGAACTACCAGGGAGGTGCAACCTTTGGGTTGGCGGTGAAAATACCAACAGACTACACCCCCAGAGCTCTTTGAGTTTTGAAATCTGGTGAACTAAATAGTCATATCTTTTTTTCCCTTCTTTAAAGACAAAACAACTCTACAGATTGGTTTTTCAATTTGTGAGTTTCCCAAATGGATTTATTTATCCCTCTACTGAGTCTGTGGTCTTTAATTAGAAAGAAAAGAGGAAAAACCCCAAGTTTCCCTCCCCTTAATGGGAAGAGCAGAGGAAGCTGCATTATCACTGTGGGCCCCGCCCCAGGGGCTTCTCTGAGCTAGAGGAAGACCAGCAGGCAGGGCCCTGTGCACTGCAGCACCTGACCCTATAAACAAGCGTGGTTCATTAACCTCCTCACTGGCGTCTGCATGCCTGCAGATAGAGGCGAATGACCATGAGCTTTAAGTTGGAGTTTCCTGGCTTTGTGAAGTTTGACAACACAAATGTTCTTCAATTGTGTTTGGGCTATGTGTATTTCCCAGTTTTTATAGTAGTCTGTTTAAAGGAATGAAGAAAGAGACATTAAATATTTATTTTGGTTGACAAGATAAATGAAAACTGCTACTAGTAAGATAGCTGGCAATTCCAAAAACTAGATTTGTTTGTCCACTTCCAAAACATGCCTATTGTGTGCCTTTCAATGAATGGCACATTAATTAGATAAAGGATATCATATTATCAGGCTGATTATAGCAAATATTTACTTAGAACATTTTCACTTAACCTTTCCGAATATTGCAAGAAAATTGAGTTTGTGCAGAGAATAGAATCAACTCTTTTCCAGAATCTCCATAGCTTTATTTTGAGAATCTCTAGAAGATTCTACTCAGCCCTAGAACAGAAGCCATTTATGTAGCAAATCAGTGAATGACTGGCTGTTTGTCTTCCAGGATGCTTCTAAAGCCCTGCTTCAGCTTGAAAGACACTGACTTGGTAGAGGAGAAATTTAGTTGTAGCACCAGTGCTGTCCTTCTCCTCTTTCTCCCCCAATTCCTACCTCAGCTGGGGCATTACTGAGCACCTGCTCCAGGGTGGACTGCTGGGCAGAGCTCTGCTGCTGCTGAATCCAGAGACATCTCTTCCCAGGGCTGAGTGTGAGGGCAGATCCTCTCAGTTGAGCTGGGCAGGATGGAAATGGGCTGGCTCTGGGCTGATGTCCTGCTGGAATTTTGCTGGAAAAATCAGCAGAGGCTTCACTTGTTCAGCCCCTTGTTTGTTTGTACCCCATGTTTGACAAAGGCTTTCACTCCCACTCTAACCGAGGCCAAGAACTTGTCTTTCCTCAGTCCACTTCCTATGAAAACCAGGCACCTCACAGAATGGAAAAAGGAGAGATTGAATACCATGAAAAGTTTCTGCTGAAGGCTGTGTGGTGTGTGTGTGTGTGTGTGTGTGTGTGTGTGTGTGTGTGTGTGTGTCTGTGTCTGTCTGTGTGTGTCTGTGTGTGTGTGTGTAGGCAGGCTGGCCTGCATTGAGACATCAGGTGGCTCGTTCCTGCCCTAAAGTTATCCCTTGGCAGTGCGGGCATAGACAAGACTCTGGTTGTGTCTCTCCAAAGACAAGAAGAAAATCAGTGCCCCTATTATCCACTGTTCTGATATTTTCTGGTATTCACTTGATACAGAGGAGATGAAGGAAGAAAGTCGCCCCCAATTCCATTCTTAACAACATAGGAGGTGAAAACTAAATTATCTGTGACATTGTGATACTTGGTAGGTTTTCATGTGAAGACGACTTTTGGTGAAACCTGGAGGAATCACAGAAAGCTTTGTGGAAAACCCAAGGGCTTGAGCTGGCCCAGCACTAGTCAAGACTTAAAGGGTAGCTAAGAAGGCATGGAGCCTGTGCAGTGTGAATGTGCCAGGTGCAGGGATTACGAGGAGAGGGTTCTGCCAGGGCTGCCTGTGTTGGAAAGGTAGAGTCTAGATTCTGGGAAGACCAACAAGTTAAACCGAGATTACTCTTGATGGCGTTAGCAATAAAGGAAACGGAACATCCTTCAGTTAAGGAAGGGTGTAAGCTATGGAATATGATGCAACATTGAAAAACAATGGACTCGTAAAACATCACACAACATGGGAGAGCCTGGAGGACATTATGCTGCATGAAATATCTCAATCACAAAAGGACAAACACTGCATAATGCTATTGTTATAACATAGGAGGATCATAGGGAGGTTGGGGAAGAAATGGGCAAAGAGTGGATAGATAATGAACACTGCAATAGAACAGACGACGGGAAGAACTGTCGGAAAGGAATATATGATTAGGCATCACATGTATGACAATAATCTGGAACAAGGGATTCATTGCCAGGAGGGCTGGAGAGAGGAGAAGAAAATGGACAACAATAAAAAAATAATTACTTAAAAAGAAGCTAAAAAATGTGGTGTTGTTGTTATGTGCCATCAAGGCGCTTGTGACTCATAGCGACCCCGTTTACAATAGCTCTGAAACCTGCTCTATCCTGTGCCAACTTTACTGTCTCTGACACACCTACCCTTATTACTATCTCATCCATAGTATTCTTTTTTTTTCCCCTCTGTCCTTGCACTCTTCCAAGCATGATGTCCTTCTCCAAGGGCTGATCCCTAATGCTTAGGTCTAATATGGGAAAGTGGCTAATTAGGTGGTTAATGGGCAGAGCTTTGTTTACTTTGATAACAAAGCAAATGGTCCTAAGAATGCTGAGTGAGTTTCCCCCTCACCTTTAGAACTGTCAGGTGGTCATTTCAGAGCTGCCTCCTGTTGTGTGCCTGGGCTGTCAGGGGTTGTTAGGAATCCTTGGTGGTGCAGTGGTCAGCATACTTGAGTACTAAAGGAAAGATTAAAGGTCCAGGCCCGTACAGAGGAGCCTTGGGAGGAAGTCGGGCTAACTACCTCCAGAAACCAGATGTTAAAAACTCTGTTGGGTACAGTTCTACTCTGACGCATATAAGATTGTTAGGAGTAGGAATAATACTGGGCTATTTTTCCGCCTCAATACCTGCTGCCTTTCCCTCCTTCATGGAGACATAAAGGAGAAGCCCTGGGAGACACTTGAGTCCAGGAGGCACCTGCGCTCCCAGCCAGGATATGAGGGGCGCATTCAGGGGTTCTCCTTAGCCACAGCTTGCATTCCCTCTGTGGTTAATAAAAGGCCATCTCCCGTTTTTTTTCCCCACTTGGAGCTACATCATTTTCATTTATTTCACCTTCTACTGGAAAAAGTTATGTAGTAATGGGAAGAAGTCAGTTTTCAGTCTTGTTCTGTCCTTGGCCACTTGTGTAGACATTAAGCAAAGGGACTTTCCTCCCTAGATTTTTACTCCCTCATCTGTAAAAACTAGGGAGCTGGTTTTGGGGTTTTTTTTTTAAATTTACGTTGTTTATTTTTCATTTCAATGAACATCTACAGAGATTTTGGGATTCCATTCATTCATTGTTGCACCCTTCTCCCCACATAAACCCCTCCCCCCTCCCCCCCATTTGCTCCTCTCCTTGAAAAGCAAAAGAAAAACTCCCTCATTGGTACACAATCCCCCCCCCGCACCTCCCCAAACCCCACCCCCTAGCCCCAAATATAATCCACTCTACAACCCTCATTGCATATTCCTACGATAAAAATAATGCCCTAAAATATAATACTTTTAGAATAGTCTAAAAGGGAGCTGGTTTTTAAAGCCTCTTTCAATGACTCTTGGAGAATAGGCATATGTGTATAGTGGGGAGGGGGGAGGAAGTCTCCTGAGTAAAAGCTTTTCCTTCCTCCCCAAGCCCGACTTCAGGAAGGGTGGGAAGAACAGAGGGCGTTTGGGTGGAGCCCGCAGCTGCAGGTTGACCATGAAGTTGATTTGCTTGCATCAATGGCCTGACCAGAACTCTGGAATGTGTTTATCTGAATGTTTGTATCTGATTTACCCTCGAGGTTAGCTCCTTGATCCCCTGCCCACATCCTGTCCTGTGCCAAGTTAATTTGATTTCTCTCCCACACTTTCTTTATTCTTCTTTTTTTTATTGCAGAATCACAGAATTGATTGGTTACCACCCTGAGGAGCTGCTCGGCCGCTCGGCCTATGAGTTCTACCATGCGCTAGATTCAGAAAACATGACCAAAAGTCACCAGAACTGTAAGTCTTAGGAGTGCTTTAAGTTCTATGGCTGCCTCATGTCTGTAGAATCTGGGCTAAGGTGAGGTGCTGTTGGAGAGGCAGGAGAATGCCTGGCCATTTCTCTTATAAAGATGCTATTTTGTGTTGCAGACAAGACTCATACTCTCAAGATGCTCAGACAATGATGGCTGGCACCAGCTCATATGACACATTCTTGCCAATTCAAATACACACACACTCACATTCATACCCCAAGGTGCACAGCTTGGAGAGTAGTAAATGGCCTGAATTCCACTCTCCATGCCCCTTATCCATTGAACACCTTTGTGCAATGAACAGTCTGCACAATCATGTAGGAATAGGACTCTGTAGACGGCGATACATGACAGTGATTAGCTCGGTTTGTGTGCTAGAGATGCAAATGTATCCATTCAGAGAAAATGAGAATTAAGGAAAAGAAAGAAAAAGACCTTTGAGTTGGACTTGGCTAGATGAAGTAGGCAGAGGAAAACATAATCTGTTAACATTTTAAATTAATATTTTACTTTGAGGGGGCTCTAGTAGTAAGGCATTGTGCTGTCAACCTGAAGGTTCAACTCTGCCAACAAATCTTCAGGGGAAAAGATGAGCAATCTCCGGCCATGCAATTACCTGCCTCTGAAAACCTGCTTGAGGGCCAGCTCTGAGTCGGTCCTGACGTGACAGTACTCCACAGCAACAACATTTCACTTTGATGAGAGGAATAGATAAGTTGGTATTTGGTGCTGTGTGTGAGAGGTGGGCCATAGTTCTCTGAGAACTTACTTGATAGATTAAGAGAACTCAGCTGAAGGAGACCATTTGAGCAACCAGTGACGGCACATAAAAAGCTGTGCATTTCAACCTGAAAGAAACTAAGTTATGAAGGTGTTGTAGAGCAGTGGTATGCAATGTGAGTTTGAGCGATGATGGAAATACCCTGCATCTGGCTTGTGCACATGTGTTCATTGGGTACTTGAAATGTGACTAATGCAACTGAGAAACCCAATTTTTTTTTAAAAAAAATAATAGTTAAATTTAAGTAACCATACATTACTGGTGGCTACCATACTGGACAGGATAGTTTAGAGCATCTACGTGGCCGTGGTCCCATATCCACTTTCACCCAGGACACTAATTAATAGTCCATCAGTAATGCAAGGACTCTGCACCTATACCCCTATACTTAGCCAACTGGGGCAAATAGAAATTAGTAGGATAAATCAGTGAAGTATTTTGCTTCTGAGGGGAAAAAAAGAAGAATATGAGCTCCTAAGAGGCAGAATGACTTGTGCCATTAGCCTCTGTATCTAGCATGGTATCTAGTAAAGTTGTTGTTGTTATGTGCCATCGAGTCGCTTGCGACTCATAGTGACCCTATGTACAACAGCCCTAAACCCTGCTCTATCCTGTGCCAATCTCACTGCCTCCGACACACCCATCCCGATTACCCCAGTCACTGAATCAATCCATCTCATAGAGGGTCTTCCCCTCCTGCGCCGTCCCTCCACTCTGCCCAGCATGATGTCCCTCTCCAAAGACCTGTCTCTCCTTACAACATGTCCAAAGTATATCAGGCGAAGCCCCAGAATCCTTGCCTCCAAGGAGCAGCCTGGTTTAACCCTCTCTAGGATGAATCTATTTGTTTTCTTGGCAGTCCGTGGTACATTCAGTACTCTTCTCCAGCACCACAGCTCAAAGGCGTCAATTCTCCTTCTATCCTCCCTAGTCATTGTCCAACTCTCTGATGCATAAAAAGTGATTGCAAAAACCATAGCCTGTATCAGGCGCACCTTAGTCTCCAGAGAGTCACTGTTGCTCTTGAGTACTTTAAAGAGGTTCCTAACTGCAGACTTTCCCATCGCAATACGTTTTTTGATTTCTGGCTACTGGTGCCAAGAGTGTTGACCATGGAAGCCGAGCAAACTGAAGCTGTGAACAATCCCAATTAAATAAATGACTAGCTTATCTTCCCATTCTATTAACTCTGAAAACTCAATGGAGGGTCAGCTATGACTTGGTTCTGATGCTACACAAGAACAACATATATCAGAAGGTAGTTGAAAAAGCATGCTTTATAACAATGATAGAATTTTATTAATTTAATTTTTTTTCAAAGAGAAAAATGAACTTGGGAGAAGGAGGAGCAGGGAGGAAAATGTACAACAACAAATGAATGGGGGGAAATTAAATGGAAAGAATATGCTATAAAAATTATATATGTTGCATTAAAAAAATCAATAATAAAAAAGGGGTGAAAACCCAAGTGTCCAGTATAGTGTAGGATAGGATAGGACAGGACAGGATAAAATAGGAAAGGATAAGTGCTGAGAGAAGGATTAGAAATTGAAGTCTGAGAAGCTCCCCAGTGACCCTGTTGGCTGTGGAATTCTAGAATTGGTTTTATCCTAGGTTAAAAAAAGATGGAAGAGTATCTGTGTGCATTATCCCCCACACTCACCCATCTGTGTGAGGTCAGGACAGGTGAAGTTCAGAGCAGCTAACAGATGAACACCCATCGGCTATATTCTGTGTGCACAGTTGCCACTCTTACTAGTTCTTCTACTTCTTCTCCGTAATGTTGGGTGTGATGTGACAGTGTACCAGGACACTTTATGGTACCTCGTGGAAGTTTATCACTGTGCCCTACCGGAAAAGGAAAAATTATGAAACAAATGAAAACCCTTCAGGTTTTACCATTTAGGGATAGAGAAGGAGGGTGGAGGCATTCTCATTGTGTGCCCTTGAATGTGACCCAGCCCTGGGCTGGCCCAACTTGAAGTTGTTGGCTCTAGTTCCAGCCTCCACTTTGAGGTACCGCAACTTTCCTGGGCTCCCAGAAGTGGAGGGACAGAGTCATCCAGGCATGTCACTCAGGGTCCCTAGCTCCAGTCAAGCTGATCTGCTGATGATTCCCCAGAGCCTCACTATCTAGGCCTTCCTTCCGTTAGCCATAAAACTAAGGCAAACTCAGCCTTCCTTCCCATCCAGGGGTGAAGCCAATGCAGGGAACAGATACAGAAGTTCCTGGGAATTCTGAAGGACAGCCTTGTGCTCTGAATTCTGGGGGAGGAAGAGAAGCACTCATCTAAGTAAAGAAAAATTATGACTTCTTAGTGGCAATGTGAAGAGTATTCTTTCCTTTCTTCTTAGAAGAACCTTAGACCATAAAAACAACTGGACAGAAATTGTGTCATACCAGTTTTCTTCTGACTCCAGGGAAATACGATGTTAGGAGTTTTTGTTTTTTATCAAATCCATGTATTTAAAAGCATGAAAGCCAAACCAGTAAGCATGGAGGCAGTTTTGATTTGTGATGGCCGTGGGCGTGTTAGAACAGAACTGTGCATAATGAGTTTTCAATGACTGATTTTTGAACTGACTGATCTACTCTATGAAGTAAATCACCAAGCCTTTCATTCCTTCAACCTTTTGTTTGTTTAGCAGGCACGTGTTGACTTTGTTCCCCCTGTTGTTGTTGTTGCTGTTAGGTGCTGTCGAATATGACTCATAACTACCCTATGAACAAAAGGATCTGAACTGTGTTCTCTTCTATGCTGTCCTAACACTTGCTGACACACTAGAGCCCACTACAGCGGTCACCATGTCAGTCCACCTCTGAGGACTATTTAATCATGGTGGTGGCAGCGTGTGCAACCAAGTGAATTTCAACTCGTAGTGATCCTGGATGTAGAGCTGCCTCCTGGGGTTTCCAAGGATGTCTTCTTCATGGGACCAGTTCACCAGGTCTTTTCTCCTGATGTCTGCTAGATAGGTTCAAATCACAAACCACCAGCAGGTCCTTGATCACTTTGCCACCAGAGCTCCTGCTTAGTCACAAGGCACATTTCAAGGTTATTCACAACACAAGCAGAAGTCCCAGACTCTCTTCCCCTGAGGAACCCAGGAAAAAACTTCTGTCAGAAAGACCCAGCAAAGGTTGGATAAACCTGCATTAATTGGAAATTGGGTTAATGTCATTTGAAACAGACACACTTGCTTCTCTTTCTCTATCTCGCTCTCTCAGATTCGTCTTTGGGTATATGTAAATAAAGTCACACACAAGCCACACTTAGTGCTGGAGAATAACTGCAGGATGGGCCATGTCAACGCATGGGTGTCCCACATCGTACACACATGTGCATGGCTCAGCCTGTAAAGGTTTCACGTTGAAAGGGTGGGAACTAGGTCCTCAGACCAGGCTTGTTTAATTCAAAGCCATCATTTCCAAATGGATTAGTTATTTATGCATTGTTACTCTCCGGTGGTGGGACTGCTCAGTTTTTCTTTGTTGTGTAAGGTCATAATGTGCTTTTAGGAAAACAAGATTAAAGGCCATAAAAAGCCTATCTACGAAATAGCAGGCCCCTCACGAAGGCTGGTATTAATGAGCAGATGATTAGAAAACGGGCTTAATTATATTCCCCTGGCAGAGCAGACCCTTGCCTTGCCTTTGAGTGCTAGAAATGCAGTTAAAACCTTTACTCGTGGTGCTGTTTAATCAGTAAGAATTAGAGGCCTGAATTCAGTCTGCATTAGAGCCATCTAAATAAGTTAATTCCAGGCACTTTCAATTGTGCTAGAATCATTTCGCTGCAGCATTGGTGCTTTTCTAAGACTGATAAATAGAAGATAGAAGACAAAGGCAAAGTTCTTCCTCTCGGCCGCGACGTGCCTGCAGCAACAGCAAACCTGGTCTTCCTGGTGACTGGGACACTGGGAGCATTGTTGTTAGGTGCTATAGAGTCGGAATTGACTCATAGCTGACCCTACAGCAGGTCTTCAGAGGCAGTAAATCACACAAGTCAAAGTCTCCTGCGGAGACGTTGGTAGACTGGAACCACAGGCCTTTGGGTTGGCAGCTCCTTACAACTCCTTACCACCCACCAAACCACCTTACCAAACCACCAGAGGCACAAGGTCTGTCACTGTCATCCAGTGTAATATTAAACAAGTCCCAATCTCTTTGACTTTAGTTTCCTTTCTGTGAAAGAAGATAGTCTATATTCTTCTCAAATCACAGGATTTTGCTAAAAAGATTAGACTCGCTTTATATACAACCCTTTTGAAACACAATTAGGCAACTTCTTATGTAGAGACCTGTACTTAGCATTGTTACTGTTGACTTGTAGCAACAGCACAGGAAAGCCCTGGCCACTCCTTCTCCATCCTCCAAATCTCCGGTGTACATAAGCCCATTGTACGAGTTGTGGTGCCAGTGTGTCGTGTTGAGGGTCTCTCTCTCTGGTTGGCCCTCTGCTTTTTCAAGCATGACGTCCTTTCCCAGCGACTAGACTCGCCAGATAACAGACCCAAAGTCTGTGTGATGAAGTCTCACCCTCTTTGTCTCTAAGGAGCAGTCTGGCTTTGCTTCTTCTAAAACAGATTTGTTCGTTCTTTTGGCAGTCCATGATACACACCGTATTCTTTGTCAACACCACAGGTCCGAAGCATTTATTTCTCTTCGATCTTTCTTATTCGTTGTCCAACTTTGCATACATGTGACCAAAGAATTTCACTTCTAGGTGCATCCAAGAGAAATGAGAAATGTCCATACAAAGACTTGTGCACACATATTTGCAGCAACTTTTTTCAGAATAACCTCAAACTGGAAACAACTCAAATGTCTATAAGCAAGTGAATAGATAAGCTAGTTTGGTCTCTGCATAGTGTAGTGGGTCTCTTCCTCGCTAGACCTTGCTGGTTGTAAGCTGCTTAATGTCTCTGGACTTCCTTTTTCTAAATTCCAAGTGAAGGTTTGGGTGAGATGATGTCTAAGCTTCTTTTTAGCTGGGTTTCCCAGTCCCCAGTGTATTGGTACCTACTCCTGGTGGCTTCCTATGGGGTCTCCCTGCCCTGCAGTGAATCACTCACCTACCTCCGTGGCCTCTGACCCCTTTTTCCTCCTCTAGTATGCACCAAGGGTCAAGTGGTAACGAGCCAGTACCGGATGCTCGCAAAGCATGGGGGCTATGTGTGGCTGGAGACCCAGGGGACGGTCATTTACAACCCTCGAAACCTGCAGCCTCAGTGCATCATGTGTGTCAACTACGTGCTGAGGTGAGCTCCAGTGTGGTAGGCATCTCAGGCTGGGGGCATCAGGGCCGGGAGCATGGTGAGAAGCACTAACCTTCCTGACCCAGGAGGACAGGCCTGGGGAAACTGATTCTCTAAAGCTCTGGGATCCTCCCAGTCAAAGGGCTAGTCAGCATGACTCAGCGGACCTTTGGCTAGGGTGTCTTGGAAACAGTGGGATATTTGGGGTTTCCCTTTACAGTGTTTTTCCTGCCTCTTCCCGTTGTCATTTGTAACTTACTTCTGCCCCAGTGAGAAGGCAGAACGCAAAATAGATAGTCCAAGAAAAAAAAAATTCTGAGCTGGGATAAAGGGAAAAAGATTGCTCATGCCTTCTGGGAAAAGGAAACATAAAGTCTTTACAGTATAGCCTCCAAGGGAAAAAAAATAGAGAAAATCATTTGTTAGGGAGAGAGTAAAACTCTCCTGACTCTTGTTCACTCCCATTTCAAGTACAGTAATAAAGCCACATCTAAGTAGACATGTGTTCAGTGACTACCCATATGGCCAATAAACTTAGTGCATGACTCTACAAAATAGAGTTCAGAGTCCTTACCCAGCTTTTGCCACGCTGAAAGTTTACCTGTCTGGTTTTCTTTGAGTCTGGGGATGCATCAGTATTTCTTAGGAAATGTGCAAGGTCTGAAGGGTTTCTTATCCCATCAGTGAGATTGAGAAGAACGATGTGGTGTTCTCCATGGACCAGACTGAATCCCTGTTCAAGCCCCACATGATGGCGGTTAATGGCCTCTTTGACAGCAATGGAGAGATGCCTGTGTCCGAAAAGAGCAACTTCCTGTTCAGCAAGCTGAAGGAGGAGCCCGAGGAGCTGGCCCAGCTGGCCCCTACTGCAGGCGACGCCATCATTTCTCTAGATTTCGGTGGGTCACTCTTACTTGAGTCGGGGACTATAGCGTCTTTTTTAAGCCGAGGAAACTCTTACTATAGCAGCTCTTTCTGTGGGTTCTGGTTTGGATTCTGGTGCTGGAAAACAAACATTGCATTTAACTGTCCTGAGTAAGATGGTCCTGTATCTGACCTCATGGTGTGCTGACCCAGGTGGGTTGTGAGAGGAAATGATGTTGAGAAGTTGATTCTGTACCACAGACAATACGTTTGAGGTAGAGCTCAGAGCAGTCCAGAACTGGGATCTGAGAAAGAGAGAGAGAGAGAGAGAGAGAGACATTGAGAGAGACAGAGAGAGAGGAAGGAGGGAGGGAGGAGAGAGGGAGAGAGGGACATAGAGAGAGAGAAGAGCAGTCCTCCCCCTGCATCTTAAAGGATAAATGGAATCTTGAGAGCAGAGGATTAAGTTGAAATAATGTTGGGAGAAATTCCAGTAGCAAAACAAAGAGGCTCGGGCTCAGGGATGAAAGTCTCAGATACTCTGTTCCCCTGAGACAAGAGCTGGTGATGAAGGTCACCGGCCACTCCTTCACCCTTGAGGTGTGGGGGTGTGCCCTGGGAGCCCCTTCCCCAAGTGTGGCAGTGACTGCCCTGTCTGAGCTTACCTTTACCTCTGGCTGACTGACAGGATGGCACCTTTCACCTGAGTTCTGGAGGCTATACAGGAACCCCAACTTTGGAGAGTCCTGAAGGGTAACGGGCCCTTGCATCAGGTCTTGTACCACTTCCCTCTTGGTAGCAGCACTGAGGCACATTGCTGTACTCTCTTCTCCTAACCACCTCATCTGCATTTTTTGATGGTTCATCAGAGAACAGCAGCTCCTAATACATTTAGGCTCCAAAATTAAAGGATCCTTGCTAGTGCTGCCTTTAAACGAAGTCTGAATTGGAATAATACAGTCTAGATCCTCTAAGCCTGTCCAACTTACCGTGGCCCATGTGTGTCAGTGGAAAACTGCACTCCCGAGGGTTTCCAGTGGCTGTGATCTATTGGAAATAGAGCAGTGGGCCTTCTTCTCCATGAAACTTTGGGTAGACTCAAGCCTCCAACTCTTCACTTATCAGCAAGTACACCAACTGTTTGCACCACCTAGGAACTCCAAATGAAACCTTAGTCTGAGCTGTGCTTCAGAGTGTGAGGGTCCAGCCCTTCTTGGGCCCTTGCTGTTCCCTCTCTCTCCACTCTGAGTTGTAGGCATTAACGAAATCAACACCTCTTCTTACAGGGAACCAGAACTTTGAGGAGTCCTCCTCCTATGGCAAGGCCATCCTGCCCCCAAGCCAGCCCTGGACTGAGGATCTGGGGAGTCGCAGCACCCTGAGTGAGTCAGGGAGCCTGCCTGCTTTCTCTGTGCCCCAGGCGGCATCTCTGGGCAGCTCCACTCCCAGCGCGACCAGCAGCAGCAGCAGCTCCACAGTGAGTCTTCTCCGGGTCAGGCAGGCCCATGGGCCTCCGGACTCCTGCTGGGCGGCTGAGGGGAACTCACACACAAATGCTGCCCTCCTGACTCCTGCTGGGGGGCCGAGGGGAACCCATTTACAAATACTGCTCCTCTTGATTTCTGCTGGGTTGTTAAGGGAACCATACTAAAATACTGCTTTTCCAGACTTCTGCTGGGTGGCTGAGGGGGGAACATACACAAACACTGCTCCTCCAGACTTCTGATGGGTAGCTGAGGGAAAACACACACAAATACAGCCCTCCTTTGCTTAATCAAGCTGGCCTAGGCCACAACAGTGACTCTGTGTCTTTCCTACACAACCTTAGTGCTGTTAAGTTGCTTGATTTCCATTTCCCAGCCGCACCTAAATATCAAATTCCTTGTGCAGAGTACCAACCAGCTTTCACCAGAGTGTGTTACAATCTCCAGAACCCTGCTCCACCAGCCACCACCTTGCACTTGCTCCTCCTTAAAACAGCCTGGGAAGTGCCATTAGCCTCACTTTATGATGAAGTAACTTAGGTTCAGAGAAGTTAATGAACATACCTAAATCATTTAGTTATGTATATATCATGGCCCTTTTGCCAATACTTGTTCGGTGGACTGGGAGAGAATCTGTGAGATGCTTCCATTTGAGCCCTAACTTGGTCCCCCTTTTTACTGCCCTACAGCCCAGCAGCCCTGGAGACTATTACACATCTCTAGATGATGATCTGAAGATTGGAGTGATCGAGAAGCTCTTTGCCATGGACACGGAGGCCAAGGACCAGTGCAACACCCAGGTGGGTGGCTCTGGAGCAGTGAGGGTGTGGCATGCTGGCTACCTCAGGGGATGTGGGCTCATGTCCATTCTGACAGCTTCATCACTGTCCTGCAGAGAAGGTGTGGTCCTGCTCTTCTCGCACTTAGTACTTAATCGTGCTATTTGCTGATACTATAAGCATTCCCTGTATCTCTCATCATTAGTAAGCATTCCCAAGTTAGGCTATTTCTCTGAAGGTAGAATCTTTTTCTGCTTCGTAATGTGAGTATTCCCTATAGGGTCCAACAAAGACTGAACACCTGGAGGTTGAGCCCTAGCAGTCCCCCTACCATTGTGACTCAGCGGCAGCACACATGTAGTCTGCATGTTCCCGGGGAGACAAGAGGGATGAGGGAACGAGCTTTTGCCTTTGAGTAACCAAAGTGTGACACACACAGGCTCAGGTGCCGTTTAGAGAAGGACCAGGAGAGGTGCTGACCATATGGGAAGGTGGACTGGCTGCACCATCAGAGAGAAGGCAGGGTTTTTGGCACTTAGGAGGAGAGAGGAGATCAGATCTGGCTGGGTGGAGGAGTGCCCTCAATGTGGCGAGCGGAGGGAAAGACTAAATGGAACATGGAGATGTGTGGTACAGATGGAGAGGGGTGAAGGTGCACAGGGTTCATAGAAGGCTAACACACCAAGTGGACAAGGCTGAGTGAGGTCTTTCTACAGGCTGTAGGAGCCACTGACACCTCCCTGAATCATGCTTTGCAGCTGACTGGTAAGCAAAGCTCCACATTTCAGACTCACCCACTGGTGCTATGGAAGAAAGTCATGATGACCTGGTTATGTAAAGATTAAAGCCATGAAGAAGCTTTTCTACTTGGTAATGTCAAACTTAATAGGAACACCATCCCAAAAATAGATCTGATGTACTGAACACTGGCCAAAGACCAGATGAGTTGTGGGATGATATCAAGGACATCATCCATGAAGAAAGCCCAGGTCACCACAAAAAACAGGAGGGAAAAGGAGAACAAAATAGATGTCAGAAGAGGTTTTGAAACTTGCACTCAGACTAAAGAAAAGATAAAACAGAAGGAAGAAATAGTAAAGTAAGAGAGATGAACTAAAGATTTGAAAGGGCAGTTCAAGAGGATAAAGCAAAGTATTGTAAAGAAATGTCAAAAGAGCTAGAGTTAGAACACCAAAAGACAAGAACTGAAGGACAAATACAAACCTCAAGGTGGAAGGCTGAAGGATTCTATCAGCAAAATATTGAATGTTGCAGGAAACATCAAAAGAAGATGGAAAGAATACACCGAGTCACTGTACCAAAAAAGAGTTGGTTTACACTGACCTATTTCAGAAAGTAGCATACAATCAAGAACCAATGGTACTGAAAGAAGAAAATCAAACTTCTCTGAAGGGATGGCAAAATATAACCCTCTGAGAACTGAAAGTATACCAGTTGAGGTGTTTCAGTAAATAGATGTGGCCCTGGACCTGATCACTAGTCTATGCCTAGATATTTGAAAAACCACTACTTGATCAAACTGTAAGAGACTGTATTTGTTCTCTTTCTAAAACATGTGATCCCACAGAATATGGAAATTATCAAACAATATAATAATTTATGCTAGTAAAATCTTGCTGAGGATGATTTTTAAAAATGGCTGGAACAGGGGACTTCAGATTCAAACTGGATTCAGAAGAGGCCACGTTATGAGGGTGGAGAACACCATAAAGACGGTGTTCACTAGGGTTTTATTGATGATGGAAAGGCATAGGACGGTGTCAATCATAATACATTATGGATAACATGTAGAAGGATTGGAACCTGAGAACACTTAATTGTGCTTATGCAAATGTACATAGACCATGAAGTAGTTGTCTGAACAGAACAAGGGCTGGTGGTTTACAATCAGGAAAGGTCCACGTCAGGGCTGTATACTAATTAAATCTGTGTGCTGAGAAAATCATTCAAGAAGACGGACTGTGTGAAGAAGAAAGTAGCATCAGGATTGAAGGAAGCCTCATCAACAACCTGTGTTACTGCAGATGACACAACCTGGCTTGCAAAAGTGAAGATGACTCAAAGGACTTATTGCAAAATATTACAGACCAAAACCTCCAATGTGGATTACCTGTTAACATCAAGAAAACAGAAATCCTCGTCACTCATAGCCAACATCATGATAGTTGGAGAAAAGATTGAAGTTATTCACAATTTGATTTTACTTAGATCTACAATCACCACCACCCAGGAGGACATTATGCTGAGTGAAATATCTCAGTCACAAAAGGACAAATATTGCATAATGCCACTGTTGTAAAGTGGGACTGACATTGGGGTTGGGGTAAAACTAAGAAAAGAGGGGATAAATAATGTATACTGCATTGAAAGAGATGAGGGAGAGAACTGTTTAGGAGGAATATATGATTCAGTATTATTGTCATGACAAGAGTCCAGAATGAAAGTGGAGTGGACTGGGGGGCAAGCAGGATTGTATAACAATGAAATATATATATAT